CTACATTTTATACTATATATATATATGTATACATATATATATATACATATATATATATATATACATATATATATATGTATACATATATATATATATATATATATATATATATATATATATGTATACATATATATATATGTATACATATATATATATACATATACATATATATATATATATATGTATATATATTATATATATATATATATATATGTATATAATATATTATATATATTATATATAAATGTACATAATAACATAATTTAAGTTGGGTGTTTGCCTGGAACACTTACTATTGTTAGTGTTCCTAGGGAACCCCTCAAAATATATTTGTCTGCAGCATCTAATTCCTATATACATGAGATTCTAGACAGAAAGCAGAGATTTAATCTTATGTGATGCTGGAGTTCTACATAAGATATTTGGGCAACTAAGTGCTGTACTGATAAATATTTTTATACGCAGTCTCAACAGAAGCAAAATGTTAATAATTGCCCATATACTTATAGCCTAGCAAAAGGTTTAATATTGAAAAGAGGTGCAGATAGTGCACCTTAGGTAGATGAAATTCAGTGCTTCAGTACTTTACTACATATTGCCTTAGTATATTAACTACTAAGTCTCCTTGGTTGAAGTGTATGATGGTGTTTTCTTCACCTTCTCTGTCTTCACTATCACAGGTGTGTCTAGCTTTTGTTGAGGCTGCGGAATCTGAGGTACATCATCGATACCCTCTCTTCCTAGAGAAATTCCAGGGTTTTGACCTCTAGTGTGCTTTTTCTGGGTAATTCCCCCTAAGCAAAGTTTTTTCTTGGCACCGGTTTGTGATGTCTGCAGTTCCAAATCGGTTTCCTGATCTCCGAATTCCATAGGGCTTTTCCCTGATGATTTTTTGCGCTTAAGAGTTTCAGCACTGTCCTGAGGTGATGTAGCTATTTCAGTGTAAATGCTTCCCTCAGTTTGTTCCTCTGAATATTTCTTCATTTTTGGAGTTGGAATAAATGGCTCAGATGGTCCAGATACAACGATATTTTCTGAATTCTTCTCCATTGAATCTTTTCCTTGATCGGTATTGGTTACAGTGTCTTGAATGTTCTGTTGTGTGTCAAGACTTTCTTTGAGCTCAATTGTTTTAAGAGTCCACTCTAGCACATTATTTTGACCTAAGTGTCGAGTAGGCCCTACTTTAATATAGAACGGAGTGCTGCTCAACATGTCTTGAATAGCTCTGAAAGCGTCTTGATCATCTTGTATTGATATTTTAGAATGGTTAGTAACAGAATGTACTCAAAATAGTATTCTTTTTCTTATTTCTATTTTCTGTTCTTGTTTTTTTTCCCTTATTATTCTGGTCTTAATTCATCTATAAAGTTTTGATGCACAAATTTGTTTTGTATAAAAATCATTATAATTAATTAATGTATGGTTTAATTGGTTTAAGAATATGTTTATTTTGATTTATAATTAGTGTGAAACTTATGTTCTGGTGCAATAGTTGTAAGTTATAGTGCATGTGTAAGTTTGACTAAAAGATTCAACTCACCGCTTCTTTCATGGCGTAGATTATAGCTACTGTTTTTCTGAACAATCTTTCTGTGTTATCATTGAATGTTGTGAAGGCCATTGTTCCTGTGTCATCTCTAGCTTCAAATTTGAAAGTTATCCTGATATAATTTTAAATAATATATGTTAGTAGTAGCAGCTAGAAATGAAGCTCGATGTAAATGTTTGCTGATATTATACCTCTCAGTACTGATGCATCCTTATTTGAACATGCGGAGCAAGAATAGCGTTTCTGCAAAGGAAGGTTGGTGCGTTTCCAGCAGTTTGAACATCCAGTATAAGCATTCACCTTTTCTAGTTCTGCGTTTTCAATGGTTACTTCGATCCAGAGGACTTCTTCTTGTAAGGTGTTGCTAGGATACATTTACAATATAATTGATGATGGTTTTGTTAGTGTCACAATATTAGATTAACTGTGAAGTTATTGAAATAGAGTATAGTGCATGACTTTTTACCTTTTTCTGCCTGAGTTCAGCAATGGATAGTATTTTCTTGTTTTCACTTGGATATCTGATTTCTAATACCCTTGCTTGTCTAATTATTACCCTTTGATAGCTAAGGTTAGCCCTTGCAAAATAGTAGTAGCAAAGAAGAAAAGATTAGGCTTGGTAAAATAATAGTAGTAAAGAAGATTATTTATGTATAGAGAATTTTTTTTATAGGTTTAGTTTAACAAATTACCAGTCAGACAGAACAGTTGCTCGATTTCCCTTGGGTTCATATACTATTCGAGTGGACATACCAAAATTCATTGAAAAGCCTATTTGCAGCATATAGTAGTTAATTATTGATAGCAATGAATCATTTACGTAGCTAAACTATAATTATTATTGTCTTAACACGGCGAGTATTTGTCTTAAGAGCCCTGAAACCAATAACCTTAAATGTTTCTGCCCAATTTGATAGCTTATCAAAATATTTTGGAGCTGTAAGGTCATTCCACATTGAGATGGTAAGTGGTTGATCACAGCTATTACAAAAACATGTATTTGATAAGGACTATAATATATAGCTTTTATAAAGAAATGTATATAGTGTTTACACCTGAACAATTAGTTTAATGAGAATGAACCTTTCATCAGTGATTACTATTTCGCGGACCAAGCTTTCTCACTTTCCCTCCCCGGGTTCAATTTTTCTTGGTTCTTCTTCAACAAATAATACAACACCCACTATATCTGCCATTTACAAAAAATTATATAAGTGGTTGTATTTTTTATTTCTAAAAGCACATTGTTAATTTAGAATATTATACCGTATTTTTCATCAGGATCTACTGCACGAGGTATACTTGCTAGTGGCTTATAGTCAGGTTGAACTGGTCCAAGTTCTGGATGAATGGGCTGAATAACAGTTTTACTACCAAAAGTCATTTGGTAAGGAAACTGATCGATCTCAGTTCTCCATTTTTCATCTATGAACTTAATTGGTGCAGCAGAAATGTCGTATTCTCCTAGATATTGTAATGCATCTTCAAAAGCTTCAATTTGATCACCAAATAAAGTACCACGCATCCTATTACCCTACAATATGCATAACATAAAACAATTTTAATGTGCACATTTATGATAATACAGTGGTAGGTCGAAGGTGGTAAGTGTATATATACCCTAATTTTAAGTAAGGAGAATAAAATCAGTGATTTTTTCCATCTAAGGTAGTGTTTATTTTGTGAGGCAATGTATGTACTTGTGAACAATAAAATGTTAAAAAGATTATTTGTAAAGATTCTAACACTATTAAGTCATATATATCATCATTGTAAGAAGAAGTCTTTAACAAGATGCTTATAATTAATTTCTGTTTTTTTTTCTTCCATCATCAGTACCTATTTATTTTCTATTTAAAAAAACCTTGCTTGAAAATGTTTGAAATATAGCATGAAATATATTATGGGCTGTAAAATTCTAATTATGCATGCAGATGTATTTTTGTTTTAATTATAATATTTCAACTATTTAAATGACTTAAACAGAATTAAGTTGCTTTACAGTATTTCTAAGTAATTTACTACACAGTTCATAATTTTGTTTGATATAAGTTAGATTACAGCTAGTCATGCTTTAAAATATAAATAATGTAACAATATCAATCTTTTTTACAGTATATTCTTTCAATTTGAATATGAAAATTGCAGATCTAGGATGCAATGATATCTAAAGCAATAAATCTATACCTTTTCATCTTTAAGAAGTAAAGTTTGGAATCTAACTGTTTTTTTTGGAAGATAGTATGTCCCTTCCCTTCTCAGCAACAACCACTCTTACTATATAAGCTTTGCTTGCTTCATTTAATTGATTCAAGTACACATATTCTGGCTTTTGTCTGACTGCTTTGTATTTGTGTTCTGTTGAAATAAATGTGTCCAGAGAAATTTGTTTAGAACTAACAGGTAATGTAAGTGTATAATTTTAGAATAAACAATAGCTAATCTAAATAGGAAATCATATTTCAAAGAATTTCAGTTAGAAAAAAAGGCGGCAAGCTAATAAAAATATAAAGTAGACAACAATTTGACAAAAAGAACTATACCTTCCATGGCTAATGTGCTCGCTGTAAGTTTGATCTTTTGAGTGAAAAAAACGAATGTTAGGATTGCATTTAGTTTGACATTACTAAGGACAGAATATAAGATTAAAAAATGCAAAACAGTGATGCAAATAATAAGCAGACTAAGGAAAAGCTTTTTTTCAACTTTACTGTTTACACTGTGCAACCCATACCTGTGAAAAAGAATTGTAAGGTACTCTATGTACCTGAAATAATTTTTAAAACCTTGTAGAATGCAATTTTTCATTTAAATAATAGAGTAATGGTAGATTTTTTTTTATGCACTACATATGAATTTAACACAGCCACAATTAGGCAAAAGAATGGGGAACAATATTGCTATTGTTAAGGAATTGGATTTTATACATTGGCAAAGGCTAAAATCGGATTACAGATATTGCATAGGTTTTAACAATTTCTTAACTATTTTTATTTTTAAAAACAAAAAAAGTCATACAAGTCATTTTAATATTCTGATTTTTAAGTATATACGTATAACTTACAAAAATTTGAAAAAGCATACTGGGTTTTTTGTTTTTTTTTTGTTTTTTGTTTTAACTTAAACCTAAACAATTTGTTGCTTTGGCCACATCTAATATTTGCCAAATACATGTTTTTGTCTTCATTAAATGCTACCTGAAATATTAATGAAATGAATTGTCAGCATAAACACAATTTCAAATTCTACTTAGTGCATATAAGATATGCTATTTATAGGTGGCTTCCTAATAAGGCAAAAACGTAACTTCATCTCCAAAAGTTGTTTTCTGCATCATAAAAACGATAAATTACTAATTAAATTATCAACTGACTACGAATAAGTAATGTAATGAAAACTGATATATAATAAGAGCTGAACTTACTTATTCTAGCTACTGCGTAGAAATCTAAATTACTCCTGCCAATTTTAGCACGGTATAGGAGACAATTTTTTTAACACAGTTCTTTGGACATTGGTCAATAGGAGCAACTAATATAACTTTCACTTTGTTGGCTGACCGTGCTCGTGATAGAGCAACATACAATTGACCATGTGAGAAACATGATCGAGGGAGATAAATTAACACTTGATCTAAGGTCTGCCCTTGTGACTTATTAATGGTCATTGCAAAGCTTAGTTTCATTGGAAATTGGCTTCTTTGAAACTGAAAAGGATACTTATGGGAACTTAATGGCCTGAGTTTAATTCTTGGTATAAAAACATGCTCTCCTTGATGTTGTCCAATGGAAATGACACACTCAATTAAATTAGGAAAAAAACGCTTGCATATAAGGCGTGTTCCATTGCATAGACCAGAAGAAGGCAAAAGGTTTCTGAGCAATATTACTGGGAAGTTTTCTTTTAGCACAAGGTTATGAGGACTGAGTCCTCCTGGGCACAATTTATTTAGAAAGTCTGTAGGACATACACTGCCAGTATCATCCAAAATAGTGTCATAGCTTGTATAAGTTACAGCTTGTCCCGGGAATCTTTCAATCATGAAAGAATTAATGTTATCAACATCTTCATTTATCGGTGTCAAAACAGCCCTTCTAGAAAATATTTGATGATCTAAAGCACTTGAATCAAGCTCTAGAAAAGAATCCTCAAGCACCAGAAGCATTGGATTATCATCAGGCTCAAAAGTATACACTATCTGCGCTGGTAACTCAATAAAGTCACTTTCTTTACTTTGCAATTCACCATTTCCTAATGCAAGTAAAAACTGAGAAAATGAAGGATCTTCTCTAGCTCTTAAGTTTTCTGTTAATCTGAATCTTCTCAAGTGGTGCCATATATAAGAACTAACAACGCTTGCTTCAACTTCTTCTTTCTGAGTCTTATTAGGAACAACGAGCAACACTTGTCGGAAGTCTCCACCAAAAACAATTACTTTCCCACCAAACAAAACATCATTATCACATATATCCCGTAAGAGAAGGTCTAGCGACTCTATATTCTGTTTGTTAGCCATTGATGCTTCGTCCCATATTATAAGAGTTGTTTCTTGTATCAATGCAGCCAGGCTACTTTGCTTAGAAACACTACATGCCAATGAATCATCATTATCTACCGGAATTTTAAATCTTGAATGTGCTGCTCTGCCAGATGGAATATTTGCAGTCGCTATTCCAGATGTAGCTGTTGGCAAAACAATTTTATTCATAAGACGGATCTCAGCATGCAACACATTATATAGGAATGTTTTACCCGTTCCACCAGGACCATCTACAAAGAAAGCCCCTGGTTTTCCTTCGACAATATGCTGCATTATAGAAGTAAATATTTCCCTTTGTGCTGAATTTAATAAGCTGCAGCGGTCTATGCATGCCTGAGGAATTGGAGCATCCAATGCATCCTGAATATCTTTTGTTCTATCTATTTCTGTATCGTTGTTGTTTATTAAAACAGCTAGACCACACTCACCTAACGATTTCCTCATGGCCTCTAGATATTGCTCCACTGACCTGACTGTTAGTTTCTTAATTTTTCTTTCAGCACCAGCATACTTTCTTGCAAAATCTTCTGACAATGCAGAATAGTACTTGTACCATAATTGTTCAGCATTGCTCGGTTGACAGAATATGAGAACAGTTGCAAATAAATGACGTAGGGCCACCGGTAGCTGAATTTCAGTAGCTTCAGCTAAACAAATACTTGCAGCATCATCTTCTTCCAAAATACCCGCTGCAAGACAAGCTTCTTTGAAACTTGCATACACATAACCTTTAACTATACGAAGATCTGTAAAGACTTTGGACTATTCGCATGTAATAGGAGCAATCGAAGATAAAAGCGCTCACCTTCAGAAGGGGCCACAAAAGCTAATTGGCCAATCATTGGCTTTTTAGACTGACTCTTATACCATGATTTCTTAGAGGCATCCCACTTGTAGTGCTCTGGAAATTCCCCGTATAAGTATCCTAACCCATTCTCAGTAGCTGCATTCATACAAAAGAACTCTGTTAAAGGAGTCTTAGCATACGCACCACTTGCAATGCCCACATCTAAACGTTCATAGGGGCGTACACAAACTATGTTCATGTCTGGAATATGAACAGAAAGAGGCAAGACCGGTGGATACATCTCAAATAAATCAAACCCAAAAATTCTCTAGGCTGCTTCACAAGGTGAGACCCATCTTCCTGACTGAAATTGAGAAATTTCATCACCACAATTTGCATCTTCAGCTGACACGTTAAAGGCTACCCGATCATGTCCCTTGTAAACATATTTATACAGGTACTTTACTGCTTTTATAGTTGAACATACTTCGACATTTAGATGACAGTCAAAGAGAGCTGTGAGATAAGGATTATATGGCACAACCCATCGGTTATCTAATTGAGCATTTATGACCTTCACTTTTTCTCCAGTATCTGTTCTTTGATAACAAGGATAACCATCCTTATTTTTCGTAGTCTGTGCAGTGTATTGCTTCGGATACCCATTTTTACAAGAAATGACATTGTCTCTCTTTCGCATACAAGGGCACTCTGGATTTTGCTCGCCACATGGTCCATGCATCATATGCCTTGAAACAATTGCACGTAATTCAGGCTGAGTCACAGGAGGTATCTCTGCATAAACATACTTGTCATAATCAGCAGGACGCTTCATCTTATATTGCTGCTGCAAAATAAACATGAAATGAGCATGTGGCAATCCTCTCTTCTGAAACTCTACAACATATATCATTGCTGCCACTTCACCGAAGACCTTGTCTTTCTTGATTTTTTTTTTAAGAGCAATCAACTTTGCTCGGAAAATTCGAGCAACTAAATCTGGCCAATCTTGTGCAGTCTCACCAGGCTCTAATTCCGCTTTTATTTCTGCCCAATTAGCGTTACATGTCATGGTGACAAAGAGATCAGGCTTCCCATACTTCTGCACAAGGGCCATTGCATTTAAGTATCTCCTTTTCATATCACAAGGCCCTCCTATAAAAGATGGTGGCAAAATGAACTTATGTCCAACATTGGTTGCACTTGTCTCTCCACTTTGTACAGTGTCAAGAATACCTTCGTAGAGATCAGCTCTTATTGTATCCTGATTTTGTCGGAAAAAATCTAATCTTGTGTTTTCAACTTTGATGTACATATCTGTGATATATTACAAAAATGCACGACCTGCTCTTAAAAGCATGTTTCCTACTCTGATCTGCAGCTTATAAGCATAATATTCTCTAGCAGAGATATATCTATCAGCTTTTGTTTTTCTTCTACGAGCTCCTACAAAAATTAACAGAGATAAATAACTAAGAGGCACCATATATATAAAAAAAACAACGGTTATAAAATAAATTGCACGATACATCATAAAGTTGCAAGTATTTACGAGTTTCTTCTGCATCAAGAAAATCTTCCGTGTTGTGCACCGTGCACGATTGATTAGGATCAGGTTCACTTGATATTTGTCTATCTCCACCATGAGAGATTTTCTTTAAACCCTGATGCCAGCCACATTCGCCTTTAGGAAAGAGTAAAGGGTACTATAAAGGGTCATAGCACCCATAATAATGGGCAATGCGATGCGAATTTGCAGAATTTGCCGTCACAAGAATGTGTGGCCATGAACTCTGACTTGATGAAACACTATTAGGCCAAATGACAACAACTTCATCTGATGTAGGAGCGTTGTATACTCTCTGATCTGGAACAGTGTTTGAATTAATTATGATATTAGTACTTTCATTGACACTTACTTCTTTCAAAGATCGAAAAAATCTGGCATATAGATTATTCTCAGTTACTCGCATCAATATGTCAATAACATCTTGTCTTAACTCAGGGAAATAGTCTGTTCTATGTTTAAGTTCATTTTGACCATCATAAAAATATAGTTGCAAATATTTCGGGCCATTTTCATCAGGCAATAAATCTGGCACAGAGTGATATATTTGGCCATGTAATTTAAAAACATATATGCCTTTGTAAGTTTCTCTATTAGTTTTACCACCAATTGAACTAAATGCAAATAAGTTATTGTATAATCTAGCGTATTTTCTAAAATGCACTGCATCTTCATCTTTTGCAGTAAAAAGTCTTACTAATTCAAGAGGATATTCATTAGCAATAATGCTAATATCACCATTATCGCAGCAAAAATGTAAAGATTCGAAGGAGAATTTCTTAGCCCCACATTCATTACAATAAGTAGGTGGAGATAATAGCAGGGGTTGTGTAGGCAGTGGCTTTCCTATAGTGGCTGTTGGTATTTCTGTCATATATTACAAAAGCATATCTAAGGAATTTCTAAATTGTAAAATCACATACATGTATATGACTTTTATGAACTGAAATTACACTGCGATTTACCTTTTGCTACATTTCTAAGCTGTTTAGAAGTTTGTGCAGCTGCTAATGGAACTCTAGCAGTCACAGGTTTCTCTGTAACAGAGCATCCAAAAAATGAAGGCAAACTATAAATCACCTAAAATCACATCTACAGATTGAATATAAACTTAAATCGAGAGAAAATATTTACTTGGAATCACAGTATATTTTGAAGGTCTCGATCTAGGCTTTTTAGATTTGGATTGTTCTCCTTTGCTGCGGGAAAAAACAAACATTTTACAGGCTTCTTTGACAAGGATAAAAAAGCACCATATAAAATTACTCATTCTACCTAATGCAATCACCCATAGAAAATACACTTCTTGTTCTCTTTGATTTCCGTCCCTGAGTTGATGGTCTTTTAAAATTATCAGGAGGATCAGCTATCAAAAAAACATATAGAACAATGGATCAGTAACTTGATTCTCATATAATATAATACATCAGTATAGCAATAAGTATAAACACCAAAATCCATCTCTAATAACATATCATTTATATAGCTCACCCATATAATGTTGCTGCAGTCAAAGCTAGTTTAACAACTTGCAACACGTATCAACTATATCTCTTTGTACCTGATTAAAAAGAACTATGCATTACTAACAATACATGTAGTTTAATATGTAATAGAGTTACTAAAAGCACTCATACTGCCATACTACTATCTCCCGTGATTCTAATCGTATTCTGTAACACTCTGTTACCTTTTTTGATTCATCACACTAATATATATTTTAACTAACTGTATTTAGGTGCCGTAATTCTATTACCTAATCCCATAGTCACACCGCATTTAAAATTTTCACATTCCAGAATTCTTTTTTATTAAAGATTTCTCTTTCACACTATTAAGTAAACAATACCCCAAGAAGAATCCAAGAACAGTAGGCTACTATAAGTATCTGTATCTATCATTTCTCTAATTACAACACTGATACAAGCACCCCCAAAAATCTAAAAACATTGTTTAAATGAAAAAATAAACAATCAATGACCAAGTTATAAGATTTTCCTGAATAATTATATTCAAAATAGAATTACATTACATTATATCGAAAATACGCATTACAATGTATTTCAGCTCAACATACAAGATAGTTTGTTGCTGAAATACTTCAACAAGCACTACAACAGACCTAACTTAAAAACCATCCTAGATAATAACAGGAATTTATCCATAGTAAACTTAGACCAGGTAATTCAATAAAGGTCATTCCGTCAAAAATATTAGATGAAGACTACAAACAAGCTAAACGAACTTTGCACGCTTCCAAACAGTCTCTAATTCAGGTATTCCAGAAACCAAAGGCTTAGTGCAAGAAGAAGATGCAGCACTTAATGGTGTTCTTGAGCGTCTTCTGATTGGAGCAGCTGGAGGCAAACTAAGCTTGGGTATTGTAGGGAATATTTCAAGCATTAACCCCTAACTTGAACCCCACTGTGATCATACACTAAAGTACAGTGGCGTCCAAAAGGGAAGAAGATAGAGAAAAAGAGTCGCCAACAAGTTTTAGGAACTTGTAAACCGTTCATAGGATGAAGGTTACACCCCTTAACGATCCAAGAGATCGTCAACTCCATAAGGTCTAGAACCAAATAAGGGTTCGGGGATGAAGGTACAAATCCAACCTAAAAGAGATTGAACATGCCCTAATAATAAGCCTCTACTTTATTCTGATCGTATTCATGTGCGCTTTTTAATTAACATGCAATCAATAGGATTAACCCTAAACCTGTTTATCAATTTTGGTTGAATATTAATGCACAAATAAATCTATTATTGGCGATCACTTGAATTATAATCAAATTAACCCTAACAAGATAATTAATTATCTTATTAAGCGTGATTACAAGTACCAAATTCCCTTTAAACATGCATAAAAGGTGTGATCAAGCAATAAAAAATATCAAGCAACATAATAAATAATCAATAATTAGAATAAACATAAATAATAATAATCATCATCAAAATAATAATAATCATAATCATCATAAATTATGTTAAAGCATAATAGTAAGATCCTAGGCATGATACTAACAAGATTAATAACAAACCCTCGCAATAAAAATCAAATCTTTAACCCTAACATGATACTAACAATCATAAGCATTAGGAAGAACATAGGAAGCATCATAACAATCATATTTAATATTAAAGTTACCCTAGACATGATACTAGGAATATCATAATAACAATATAAACATGATGCCTACATCACAATATCAATAAATCAATTAAAGTACTTACTTTGATGCCTCGTACCTCTTTCTAATTACAAAATACACACGTTAGTAAATTCAAGGAAAATAATAAATCAAACAATTAAATTATCGAAATAGAGATTTGGGACCAAACCCTCAGAAATTAAACCTTTCACGTCTAAGGCGAAGGCAACTTCGAATATGGTGTTTCTAGATCTTGTGAATGCGGAATTTTGTATGTAAAAAGCAAGTTTTAGAAAAAGAGATGAATTAAGAGAGAATTGATGATGAATGAAAACTGATTGTAAGGGAATATTCGTGAGAATTGGTGAATGAAAACGGAGTTTTTAATACGTTATTTATAGAGAAATCAGCCAAAAAGATAAAATAAACAAAACAGAGTCTGACGCATAAAAAACAGAGCTGGCGCAAACCCTGGCTAACTGGCGCCAGGCACCAACACCAGCGCCAGGCGCCAATGGCTAGCGCCAGGCGCCAGGCCTGGTTTCAGGCGCCAATGCCTGGAGTCAGGCGCCAAGCCTGGTTTTAACGCATTTTCGAAAATCAGATAAGTTTGCCGTACTGGAGGATAAAATTGTATAATTTCCTCGAAAATGCTATTTGATTTTAATTAAAACTCTGAAAAGTCAACAAAAGTCAATTTATCAATGCTAATTGAATTAGGAATGAAAAGAACCTTCTAGAAGACTAAAACCATTCCTAATTGCATTAGGAATGATAAATCATATTAGGCCCTCCCCTAGATCATTGGGCCGTATACAAAGCTCAAACCGGACCCAGTTTGGTAAATTGGCCATAATTTCCTCAATATTCATCGGAATTGGGCTTATAATATATCGTTGGAAAGCTCTTGGCAAGCCTTATCCAACTACACTATTATTGGACCCATATCATGGACCAACCAAACTGGATTGGCTGTTTTCTTAAAATAAGTTTTCAAAAACACAGAGAAGAGAAAAGAAAATAAAATTATCCGCAACACTAGACTTTCCACACTTTCACTTCATTCGATTATGATTCGATGTGAAAGGTACTCATCACTGGGTTTGGTTTTGGGGAGACACAAATGGGTGTCTACAGGTATCTGATTTCTTTCAGAAGTAGGAGTCTAACATTCATCATCAACAAACTTTTCTTCCCTCGCAGCTAAGCACCTCTTTAATTGATAAAAACTTTCTTTTAAAGCACTACAAGCATCACTCTTCTCCAAAGAAACACCGTAATTAGCATCAACAATTTCTAGGTTGTATCTAGTCACCAATTAATGTATAGCTCTCTTAGCAGCCTTCTGCATAGCACTATTTACTTCAGGACAAGCATCACTATATATGCACTCCAATTCACCTCCACTGTGGAGACAAGTCACTGTTAACCAAGCTACAAAACCCAAGCCTTCCACCCAAATAGTCTCTAATGGACTTACATCTGCACCTGTTCATGTAACAACAACACCTAAGAAACCTACAAAGTCAATCGTTACATGAACAACTTCATCAGAAGATTTCTTGCCTAAATTTCTCTGTGAAATAGGCATTTCTAATCCTTTCTCAGAACATAACTCAGCAACCTTATGTTTATAAAGCTTGCTGCATAGCTGATACATTCTTACTCTATCAGAGGTAAAATCACTCACTCACACCCCAAAATGGCTCATCAATTTTTGCACAGCTTTTTGAGCTGCCCTTTCTTGTGATTCATGAATTGTATTGGCTTCCCCACCAAAGAACACAAATTCAGATTTGCCATTCTCAATCTTAACACGAACATAGGCATTGTTCCTAGCCTTGTCTATGAAATCATAATTAGGTTCAGAAAAATTTAAACAATCAACCATTTGACCTAAAAGAGGTCGAAATGGAATGGCAATTCTGTTGGACTGAATAGCCATAACCTGTAACCGACAAAAATAAAATTAAACAAACAAATATATCCTCTAAACTAAAACAACTATTAAACTATAACAGCTAGCATAGCAGATTTAAAAAAAACTCAAGCATCATATTAAATTCTAATCCTAATTTTACTAAATATACTTACCAACAATAGAAGTAAGTAATTGTAACAACACAGATAGCTCCAGTTGCAAAAACCTACAGTTTTTGTATTATAATACATTTTTTTCCCCCACAACCCCAAAACAAAAAAAAAAAACACACAGAAAATGAAGATGTTAGCTAGCTGACTAAATCCAAAATAGCACAAAGATATTAAGGTAAGGAAAAATAGAGCCATCAGTCCATCAATGAAAAACTGTAAACTATTTAAGTAATGTAGAACTGCAAGTTTAGTAATCTCAGATCTACTATAGTTCCGGTAAGTTAAGCAATATTGTATTTCATAAATCATTAAGCCGGTAATCATTTCTGTCTGTACAATTCCACCATTATTAAAAAATACATCCACACCAATAATCCAAGGCAAAGATTCATAAAACCAACCTTTATAGTCACAGGATACTAAGGAGAGGAAGAAACTAAAAATAAACCACACTAAAGGCAAGATACAATATATATATATATATACATACATTATTTAATTACATATTATTATTATCAAAAGAGAAAAAATAAATTAAAGGAATATCCAACATATTTTAACCATCTAAAAAATCTACACCACATAAAAGGACACATTCTACATATTTTATTTAGAGAAAAACATATACCATATAAATTATCCCAATTTGAAGATTGCATTTTAAAACTGACCAAACAAAAGGACAAAGAGTACACATTTCATCAATTTTAAAATTCATCCCACATTGTGCTTCAACAGTGTGAATTACTAACCCACTTTTGCATATTAACAATGAATTAATTGCCTAATTAATTTGTTAAATCAGACAATTCACACTGTTACTCATCAAACACAACAATAACTAAAATAATTTTCGATAACAAGCAAAGTAATAATTAGACAAACCTCACAGAAACAACCAGATCCAAAGCTACGACCAAAGAAACTCCATCAAACCACTCCATGAAAGTAACAGCTGCAAAAACCAAAGAAGCTATAAGGACAACAACAACCAAAAAAAAAAAAAAAAAAAAAAAAAAAAAAAGCCTAAAGCAAACACAGTACCTAACAAAGAACGAAAGGAAGAAGATTAAAATGAAATGAAGAAGATGAAAGGCAAAGATGCTAATAGCAGGGGAGACAAGGACATGCGTCAGCCGACATATGACAGATAGCATGCTAATACACAAAGACTAAAATAGCCCTGGAAATTTGGGCAATCCAGTTCAGGGGCTAAGGGCAAGGGCGTCAATCCGTTGTTCCTAAGGAACAGTAAAACTCACTACAGTCCTGGTGCTTGGGACTTTTT